AGCCTTCCAAAAAAGTATTGTAAAATAATATAAAAAAAATTTTTATCAATTGTGTAACGATTTTGTGACGTATCAACAGTTCCTCCTGTTGGTATTTGTTGGTATTTTTCAAAAACCGCCAATAACTCAAAATTTTATCTAAAAAACCGCCTTTTGTGTTCTAACAAAAAAAAATTACTTGCAAAATTTTAGTATAGAATCTATCCTCTAACTTTAAAATTAAAGCAAATTTACAGCAACTAGAATATTTATAATTTCATGTGATTTGTATCACAGTGAGAAATAAGTAAACCCGTGATCGTAGTGCAACTTGTAGGTTGATGAATAGTATAATATAACTTAAGTTTCGGGTCTTGTATAAAAGAATGCCGCCCTTTACTTATTTAGTGTTTAATCGGGCTATGTTGTAATTAAAAGAGCTCTTGATTAATTTTTGCAAATTACTTTAATTACAGATTTCACTCTTAATAAAAACACGACAACAACAAAAGTAATATAATTAAGTTTTTTGTGGTCAGTAATTTGAAAGTTGTGATGAATTTATTTAGGAAAAATTTATAATTTTAATTTATTTGACATATACCATTCAAGCTTCTAAAATTAAATTTTAATTTAGCAAACAAACATCACACTGTAATTCTGTTTCTCCAATAACTTTTTCTTCTAATTTTGCTATTTTTGCTTTTAAATTATTGACCTCCTCAGAAGTAAAATTTGAATAACGTAAAACTTCTTCTAAACCATGTTTAATTTAGTAGCATTGGTTCTTACTATAGTAGTATACTGGATAATGTTACTTTCAAAAATAACTTTTTTTTAGTAACTCAAAAGCTTCTATATTTAGTGAATCTTCTTCCTACGACAAACAAAATTGATTTATTCCTTCTCTCATAGTATAGACGGCTTCAGCTTTTCTTAGTAAGACTTGATTTTTAGATAATCCAGTGTTTCCCATTCCAATTGTATCAACCACTCTATATATATTTTATTGTGCATGAACACCTCTTCTTGGAAGTACCTAGTTTCACTAACTGATTTGTCACTTTCTTTAAACCTGTTTGTACTACACAGCACGTTTATAAAGTTTTTAATTTCAACAGATTTTTCTTGAACTTTTTCTAACGCAATATTTTCGGCTAATTTTTTATGTGATACTTTTCTCAATTTTTATTTCTTATATTTTTTAATGTTTCTCTCAAAAGATTCGAGTTTCTTTTTAATTCTTGCTACCTTGGCTTCAGGCTGATAAACCTCAAAAAAAAAACCAGTTTCAAACTATCTGGTAAGTGCCTTAATCCTTGAATATTATTAGTGCTAGTAATGTCCAAAGATTCTAATTTAACCAAATCCTTTAAATATCTTAAAAACGATTACAAAAACCTTGTTCTATTTTTCCTCTATCATCAGTTCCTATAAATAACGTTTTTAAATTGATGAATCTGCAAAAATAGTTCAATCAATAATATCAATATTCATTATATTTAAATAACCTAATGTTTCAGGATTAACAAAATCTCTGGGAAGACTTAGTAATCTAGTAAGGCAAAAATTAGTTTCTCTAGTTCATAACAGTCGCTTACATCTAATTTAGTTACATTATGATGCGACAAATTCAATTCTTTTAGTATCATCACAGGTTAGTACTATAGCTTCAATTTTATCTTCTTTCGGGTAATTTTGATCTAACCATTCCTGAGCTTTTACCATTTTTTTCTAATTTTGTTATATATTTTCAAAAAGTTAGAGTATCTCAATATGTTGCAGCTTCCTGATAAGCAACTGAACCTTTTATTCTCAAAAGAAACTATGCAAAGAAACTAGTAATTGTCCAATCGGAAGAAAAGTGAGATCTAATTACATGAAGCTGAGATTTTATGGTGAACGCGACTTTTTATATAGCTATATAGAATACTTTTTTTTTTGATGCGTGAGGGAGAGATTCAAGGTTATTGTTGCGACTTGGAATTCTTTACAAATTAGAAAATTTAAAATCTCAGAGTTGAAGTTCTATCTATTAAATTCGGAGAGAGCGGATTGTAACTATGCTAGTTTAATACTAGTGTAAAATAAATGCTGGCGATAGTCAATTTAAGTGGTCTTAGTAAAGGTAAGGGCTAGGATCAATTGTTGTGATACGTTTGGGTCGAAGTTGCAATGATAATGCTCAACTAGAAATAAATGTAATAATAAGCCTATTAAAATAAGTGATCTAATAACGACTTAAACTACGAAATAGGAAAAAAATAAAGGCTGATGGTGACGGTTATTTACGCATTCTAGAAGAATACGATATACAATAGTACAAATATTTAATTAGAAACACTTATTCGTTCTAAAATCAATTCTTTATTCTTAGTATGCACCAGAATGAATTAGTACGAATTTAAAATTTTGTCTTTAAATGTTCACTTTTGATAACAGCGATCCAAGATATATACAGTACTGCAGTACCGATAAACAATGAGGCTCTCATCCGATTTTTACATTAGTCAATTAAATTACACAATTTTCAAATTCGTTATTTTATAATTACTATGTACAATAAAACAGAAATGTGTTAATAAATAAATGGAAAATTTTTATACAATTTTATAAATCTAACGCTAAAAAGTATTTAGTCTAGCGTTTGTACTCGGTCAAAAAAATGTACTCGGGTAATCAATAGATATGCCCAGCATAGAGGGCTTTTAATTTAATTGGATGATATCCCAAAATTTGTTAGCCACAAATACGAATTGGAAAGCTTAGGACTCAAAAAATTTTAAAGTGTGTTTCGTTTTATAAACTATCAAAGTAATTCGGTAATCTGCAAAATAATTCAGAAGTTAGATGAGAGGTATGTTTGAACCTTTTAAGTTTAGCCTATAGGCATAATAAAACAATTAAACTAATAAAAAAAATCTGACAATAATATAGGTTAATAATACAGTATGAAATTGTGTGTCATAAAGTTTGTAAATTATATAGAAGAATTAAAGCTAAGCGACACTGTAACCATATAACGATTACTAAATAAAATTATCAGTTTGATATTATAAAGCACTAAAAATTATCTCTCTTAATTTTTTTATTAGTTGTTAGTGTTCTAGAATAGGGTTAAAACATGTATTTATTGTCTTTGCTTTGTTTTTTTCTTTTTGATTTGTAGTACGTTAGGTTTTTCTTTGGTTTGTCGAAATTTTGTCTATGGCAAGATTATAGTTTTAGGCTTAAAGTTATCAAGATTTCATGGCAAAGACTTCTGACAGTATTAATTTAATTATGATATAGTTATTTTTATACATGTTAGTTTTTTTTTATTCGTAATGATTTAAAGTTTTAAAATTTTGATTAATTTCGACCAACGAAATTTTGACTACAAATATTACTAATACGTGATTTTTTGCCAATCAAATTTCAAGAGCAGGTGTAACGTTACATGATCATGAAAATTTGTAATCGCCTTTTGTGCTTTAATAAAAAATTTTCCTCGAGGAATTTTACTATACAATCATCTGACATCAAACTCTAAAGTAAACGCTAACCCCGGCTCAAACATAGTTTGAAGTGGTCGGATTTGTATTACCGGGTTTTTATTAAATTTGGTAAAATTGATTTTCAAATTATTTAGTTACATTAGTACA